ACCCCACAAGACCCCCGACCCGGCACGGCGTGGCCGGACAAAGGGATCCAGAGGGGGAAAAAAAAAACCCCACCCCACCCAACCAATTAAAATAAATCCATGAGGTATTTGCGACCTTAACAAAACCAAGGGAAGGCAAAAGCTTTTGCGTCCCCGATGGCGAGCCGGCCTCTGCTCGTGGGACCACCACGGGCCACCTGCCACCATGGGACATTAATTAAGGACCTCATTGAGCCACGAGCCCTCATCACCCTCGCCAGGAACCCCTCGTTTCATTCACCCCGCTGGCTCCGGGTCCAGGATGGGACCCCGAGAGACGTTTTAAGCTGCTCTGCCTGCAACCCACGGCTGCAGCTCCAACCGGCGTGGGGAAGCCCCACAGGGATGCTGCTGGGACCAGGGACACGGGTCGCCTCGGGAGCAGGGAAACCACTTAAAAAACCCCTTCTGCTTCTCTTAAAAAATAGGATTTTCACTTGCTTTTGTTAAGAGCTGAGCACGGAAACCATCAGCAGAGAGGCGAGGAGGACGTTCCTACAGCCAGGAGCATCACCTCTCCGGTGTCTCGGATGCCGGGGGAGGTTTTCATAGCAGCCATGGATCGCGGAGGTGTTTGCAAAATACTCCCCCCCCAAAAAAAATCTCTAGGATTAAAAACCAGCCCCAGCCGGCGGGCGGTGGTTTAAGGTCAGAGCCAGGACAGTTGCCAGGTAGAAAACGGGCAAGCGCAAAAGGTCCTTGGGACCTGATGGTGCTTGAAGACGCTGGTGAAGAACATGTAGAGTTAGCCCTTGAGTTATGGCACCGAAACACCGTCCCCTTCCTGGCCGTGCCGCTGTCCTCTGCCGGCTGCGCCTTCTGGGGGGGATGCTACACGGACCTGGGTTTCGGGGAGGAGGAGGAGGAGGAAGAGGAAGGGGAGGAAGGGGCTCAGCCCACCCCAACGGGGGCCAAGCCGAGGCGGAGGGCGAGTGGTCACAGGTAGGTGATGGAGCTGGGCATGGGTGCTGCTTCCCGGCGCCTGCCGCAGTTCTGCCCTCGAGCCGTGGCCTCCCTGAGCCCCGGCGGAGACGGGGAAGACGAGATGGAGGGGTCCGGAGAGGGTCTGCCCCCCAACCCCTCTCCATCCCTCTTCAGCTCACACGGAGGTCTCTGACTGCAGCCTCATGACGAACTTGTGCGACTTGGGGTCCACAAACTCCTCCGAGAGCTTGAAGAAAGGGATCTTCTTGGTGCTCACCACGAGGCTGAAGTCCTGGCGTTTCAGCACGAAGACCACGCCGTCTTTCAGGCCGTTCGTCACCGGCTCCTCGCTGACCAGCGTCCACTGCTTGGCCAGCCAGCGGTCCTTGTGGTACTGGATGGTGGGTCCGGCCGTCAGGTACCGCTCAAGGAACGCCTTGGAGGAGGGAAAGGACACGTGAACGTTGCCTTCCTATGGCTCAGCCTATTTTTTTTTTTTGCAGCCTCAAGCTGCTCGGCAGGTCCTGCAGGAAAAACATCCCCGCACGGCCGGTTCCCATCGCTGCGCGTTGCTCCCTTGGGGTTACACCCGCTTTTCTGGCTTTATCCCCCCAACCCCTTGTCCTCTCGGGGGGATGCTCTCACATGGCGGGGAAAAAAAAACCCCACCCAAGTCCTCACACTCCAGACCAAGCCCTCGGGCAAACCTGGAGACCCGTCCCACCTCGCCGTGCCCCCCGCGCACCTTGGGTGTCATGTCGTGGGTGATGCAGAACTCGAGGTGCTGCAGGATGCTCTCCATGGTGTGGTAGGGCTGTTGCTTGGTGGTGCGCAGGTACTTCTGCATGGCCCGGGCCATGGAGGCGAAGATGGCCTGAGCCGCCTCCCGCGGGTCCATGATCTCCCGCGGGTTCTTCTGGTCCTCCTCCTGCAGCCGGTGTGGGGTGTGGTAGGGCTGTTGCTGCGCAGGTACTTCTGCATGGCCCGGGCCATGGAGGCGAAGATGGCCTGAGCCGTGAAGGCTTCTTCTCCCGCCACCACCAGCCTGCCGGGAGGAAAGCCATACGGACGTGGCTGCAGCGGGGCAGAGTCCGGCCGCGGGCAGGAGATCCCCTGGGGTTTGGGGGGAGCCACTCGCCGCCTGCCTACCTATGGATGGCAGGAACCCAGCTTCCACCCCAAAACGGTTTTGGGGGAGATCCAACAGCCGGGCTTGGGATGCGCTTCCCCGAGAGCAGGGACACCTCGTCTTGGGGGGCTGGAGGTGACCCCAGGAGCGCCCCCTCCCTCCTGCCACCACAGCCCAGGTCCTCATGGGAGTCCTGGGCTGGGCACCCAATGGAGCACACAGCGATGGGGCACCCGGTGCCGCACGGAGCCCGGTCCCCGCCGCCGGCCCCGTACCTGGCACGGCGTTTCCGCACCCTGCGCTCGTGCTCTGCCTCCTCTAGTAATACTTCGTTGTGGCTGTTGTCGCGCCTCCGGGCAGCCGCCGCGATGACGGCCCGGGACTGGCCCGTGGAGTTGTTCGTTGTGTTTTCTGCAGGGAGAAGGGTGAGGTTAGAGAGGAGTTTGGGGGCTCCAGGGTGTCCGATGCTCCCCCTGCCCCACGGGCCAGGCTGCGGCGATCCCGCTCCGGGCTCTCCAGAGCCGAGAGGAGCCTCCGGAGAGGAAAACACAGGGATGGGGAAGGGAAGGAGGAGAGAGAACGAGAGGAGAAGCCAAGGGAAGGGGAGCTCACCCTCGCCGAGGGAATAGACTTTAAACCCGGACATTTTCTTGGACAGGACGGATTTTGGCAGGTTGAGGAGGGCAGGGTTGTAGACCGGGAAATCGTGGTAATAGTTCTCCAGGATCCACACGGCTGCTCGCTGGATGCTGCAGGGAGACACAGCCGGGCACGGCGGGGGGGCACAGAGAGCCGGTTAGCACCGCGCCGAGGGCAGACACAGCCGGGGCAGGACGAGGAGGGAGGGACAGACAGCGGCGTGGCACTGCAGGGACGTCTCATCCCGTGGAGGGAGCGGGGCTGTACCCGCTGCGGGGCACACTCGCAGCTCCTCCGGCTGGCTGATGCCGGGGTGCCGCGGAGGGCAGCGGCGTGGGCACAACCGCTGGTGAATACAGGTGTGCATGTGCAGACGCGCACCCGTGAAAGCACATGCCTGAACGCATGTGCACATATGAACGTGCACACGCACCACTGCACGTCCACATATGAACGTGCACACGCACCACTGCACGTCCACATCTGTACGTGCACACACGGATTTTACGGTTGGCCTTGACAACCTTAAAGGTCTTTTCCAACACAAATGATTCTATGAATGTCCACGCATCAACGCCCGTGCACACATACGAATGCCCGTGCACACACGCACGTGCACACGCACAAACACGGGACACCCCCCCCCGGCAGCACCCTTTTTCCCCGTCGGCGGAGCGGACGGCCTTGAGGGTGAACTGGGGCTGGAGCTGGCGCAGCTCGAGCAGCACCACGGCCAGGTAGTGCACGAAGAGCAGCGCGTCCACCAGCGAGACGGCATACTGCACCACCCCCTGGTAGTTGCGGTCCCGCGAGTCCAGGATCCGCACGCCGTAGAAAAGCCAGTAGGAGACGACGAGGAGGAAGACAAGCACCATAAGCAACGCTCGGAAGACGAAGACGCGAGGGAAGAAGGCTTTGGGGCGACGGAAGAAGAGAGCCCAGCTGCCCAGCAGGAGGATGAGGAGTTTGAAGGCCACGGAGATGAAGAGCCCCTCGCAGGGTGTCCCGCAGGGCTCCAGCTCCTCCCGCCACAGCAGCTGGGGCAGGAGCATGAAGGCGAGGGGTGTGAGGAAGGCAAGCAGCGCCAGCGCCCCGGCCAGCGAGACGCCCAGGTGCCGGGAGCAGTCCAGGTGGGCGCTGTCCTCCATGTCCTTGGTGATGCGGGTGATGTCATCGTGCGAGATGCTGTGCTCTGACGTCCCCGTCACCACCGTGGTGGTCTCGCCCCAGTTGTCATCCTGGGGAGGGCGGATGGGAGGGTTACGTGGGGGATGGCTCCGTGTCCCCCCCATCCCCAGCGCCCCGGGGGGCTGCCGGCCACGCCGGACCCCCACCCCAACCCAACGCCAGCATCTCCCATCCACCAAACCTCAAAGCCCGGCGCGCTGCCTGGCGCCATCACCCCCATTTAGACGGCGGAAACCTCAGCCTGGGGTGAGGGGACGCAGCGATTTGGCCGGGACCCTCTAGGAAACCCCTGTCGGCAGCTCCGTGCCGCGCTCCACCTCGCCGGCACTGGCGAGAGCAGCTTTGGAAGTGGGAAGCATCCTGCTTCCAGGCAAACCCCCTCATTAGCGGGGCCAGAAGGAACATGCCCGGCTGCCATCCCAACACACCCCCACTGCCGCTGCGCAGGCGGGCGCTGCCTCCTCCAGCGCCGCGCCGGGCAGGACAAAGTCGCTGGTGATCCGGCAGCTCAGAGCACCGGACAGGTCTCCCACCGCCTCCAAAAACCCCCTCCTCAAGCCACAGGGGTGTGGAAATGACCCGTTCCCATTTGATTCCTTCCCAGCTAAAACGTGGGGTTTTCAGTGGAGGGAGAAGACCTTGCACCGCAGGCGCTGAAAACACCGCCCCGGCGCAGCCACGGGTCTGTCCATCTGTCCATCCTCTCACTCAGACTTTCAAATCCTGTCTTACAGCGCTTTGGCATCCCTGAAACTTGGGGTTTTATCGTATCGTATTTTTTCCCTGCCGAATTTCTGCAGGAAAGCCGGTAATTCCATTCCAAACAGCAAACTAAAGCCACAGCCTGGGGCTTTCCGGAGGGATGTGGAGCAGAGGGAGGGTCCGAGAGGACCAGTCCATATCCCAGCCCGTCCCCAGGTGAACCCGCGCTGCCATCGGTTCGTTCCAGCCGTGGCTGGACCGGGCAGGCTCCCCCGCCGGCATCCCAGCCACTGCAAACCCCAAGCTCTGCCGGCGCCGACTTCTTGGTGGGGGAAGATGAAAAGAGCCGTAGCCGCCTGCGTAGGTGGCTGGGAGATGATTAAAGCCAGGGATCGGGCTCCGCGGCGGCCGGAGGAGTGCCGGCACCCAGGGTGGCGGGGCATGGCAACGCCGCCCCTGCTGCCGCTCGCACCG